AGCCGCAGTGGACAGAGGAACACGGAAAGCAGGTTTAGCTATTATATTACCTTCCTACCCCTCTCCCCTCCCCCCCCCCACCTCACACACACACACACACACATCCACTGATTCCACTCACATCCCCACCTCCCACACACACACACTTACACCCGGATATACACACTCACCCAACCCCCCCCCCACACACACACACACCTGTCTCTTATACACATCTAGATGTGTATAAGAGACAGCACACACACACACCACCACCTACTTTGCAATTCCCCTCACTTCAAACATCGCCGCCGCCTGGCGTCGCCTGTAAAATAACTGTTGCTAAAAGGAGCCGTAAATATTTTACGCTACGATGACTAGAAGAGCTGTAAACATAATATTACAAAGACGTGTCGATGGAGCCTCACTCATGAGTTGTGACAGCTGGAGAACTTCGCTGGCAAGCTACGACGACTAACGTCACCCCAGGCTGAGTCGGATTGCACACAGAGTATGACTAATTCACCTGCCGGCGTGAAACGCGCAAGAGATCTTTTTTTTGTTTTCAACACCACTCGTTGCCATACCAAAGGCACAAGAGATCTTTTTCTATTTTTATTTTTAGAAACTCGCAGGTAACGAGCGATCTCACGGTACCGCAGCTGTGGTTTTCATGCCCTCCTTCACTATTCTGCCCCAGTGCTGAAGCAAGTAAGCCGGCAATGTGGCTAGGCGTGGCACCTCTCCAGGGAGCAGCTGCTTGCAATTCCTTTCAGTTCTCACTCCTTCACGGAAATTTGCCGTCGCATCGACTCTCCATTGGACCGACCGCGGTCGCGGGCACTCCTCGCCTCAACACCAGAATAGCTCCTTCCTGAATTACCCACCCCCCTCTTCTCTCATGCACGCAAAAAAAACACCGCCTATCCTATCTTCATTTTGTAGGGGGATTCCCAGGACGTGGGACATACGGGGCCATGGCCCATGGGGTTTGTGGTCCCATGACCTCTGACATCTCATGAGACTGCAGGGGGCTGCTCATCCTCTGGTTGCAGCTTAGCCTCTCCCTATGGACTGGTTTTGCTGAATCTGCTCACGAACTTGCTGATCAAGCAGCGAAGACACACAAGAGACTAAACAAAAACTCTCCCAAACGTGAAACGACAAAGACCCACAGGACAACATGTACG